AGACGAAGCGGAACGAAGGTAGGAAGGTAATTACCGTGGTAACGGCTTGCCTCGACCGTGTGACCGTATCTCGCGGAGCGTGGTAGCTTCTGGGGAAATTAGTGCTGGAAAAATTCATGCCCGCGGAAGATTTGCGTAAATTAATTTACGGCGTACCGAGCCGGTCTCCTGTCGGGGAAAAGAGGATAAAATTCAATTTTTAGGTCGGCCTCGCGACTCGCCCGCAGGTCCGGGGATGCTGATCGTTGGCTTCCGCCGCGGCAACGGACGTTCGCGCTGAACGATACGTTTGGATTCGCATATCGTGACTTTTAATAACAAAGTACGGGCATCCCTGAGCTACCGGCCAAGCTACGTCGGCTGTTCAAAATTGACTCTTTTTCTCGTATCAAATTTATTATTTTATGCGTTACTTGGGGCGTTAATTAATTCGTTGTATTATTTAAGAGTGACGCCGCTGTTTAAGCCAGGTTGTATTATCCATACTTGCATTTATGCGGAGTGAGTTTACGTAGCTAGCGCTTTCTTTCTGAATCCCGCTGAAGACTGCTAAACAGAATTCGAGATAATGGGTGGGTTCTTCCACGACGTCGGCGAAAGGGATAGCTGCTTGAAAGCTCCTATTTCGCCGACATGGAGACGCGCATTAAGTTCTCCCGTAATATTCCTATAGCATTAAAGCAAATTTCAAGGCCCATGCGGGATTCAAGATGCCGTTTGCCTCCACTAATCCCCCCAGGGAAGTATAACGAATATCACTTTGTAAGGAATAATTAACGAGCGCGCTTGAGAGTCGGATAAAATAATTGGCCGACAGTTTGTAGTCGGACGGACGTAAATATTCTCGCGTTTTCCGCGACGTTTTGTCACAATCAGTGACGTTACGGGCGGGCACTTGTACCGTAATTAACATTAATTCCTCTCGGTGATTTGGCCATCTAATTAAAAAAAAAAACGCTCAATGGGCGACTCGGCGCGCCGTGAAATTCGAAAAATTACCGCGTCACGTGGTAGCCCGCTCCCTTTTCACCCCAGGGGAAGAGAAATTTACGGTTTTCCGTAAGCATGGCGGCGGGAATCGGTATGGAAACTTTTTACGACATACTTTTGACAAAGTTCGAAAAGTAACGAGGCGCGTTCGCATCGTCTGGTTGCTGCTGCTGCTGCAGTTGCTCGGAAAGTCTCGCGCGGCGGCGGCGGCGGCGACGGCGAGGAGGGGTCCTCCCTCCGAAGATACGGAGACAGAATCGCGTGCGAAATTTCATTTCCGCGATGGGACCGCGCGCAAGTCGAACGCGATCAAAACCGCGCCGGGAGCGCGATCGGGGACGAACGCGGTATATACTTGTACGTCGCGTCGCGGGACGGCGGCGGCGGGTGTTATCCACCGTCGACAAACTTTTTACATTATGTTAACTTGCGCGCGAAATGGACCCCCGGACTAAGCAGCGCGCCTGGGAGGGTGGCTCCCAGGTTCGAAAACGCGCCGCGCCTGCCATCGCACGCGACAATCCTCGGAGAGATTCCTCCCGTTGCTCTCTCGCATCTCTCTCTCTCTCTCTCTCTCTCTCTCTCTCTCTCTCAACGCAAACTCTATGCCTTTTTACTCCTGTCGGGGGAGTGAAATTATCTCGACCTCTTTAATTTCGGTTTTTGTTTCTTTTTCCTATCGCCACACTATTTCAGCTATACTCTTATCTATTCTTGTATACCACTAACGATAAAAATGATAAACCACTATCCGTTACATTGTCACTACGTGTTAGGGGAATGTCCTTTTTCTTTGGTATTATTCATTCTATAATATTAAAATCTGTCATTTTATACAAGTTCTTTGTCACTTGTATTTTAAATATGTAGCTTGTCTAACGCTTGTTCCAGAGCGTTTAATAAATAAAGATTCTATTCTATTCTATTCTCTCTCTCTCTCTCTCTCTCTCTCTCTCTCTCTCTCTCTGTGTGTAGTTAAATCATATCGATTACACTTGCGGGTTCGCGCGGAGTAGATATAACTCTGCGCCGGTGCGGGATCTATCAGCAACTGCTATTATTTCACTGCACAGCTCGCGCGCGATCGACGTCTAAACACGGGCCCTCGAGCGCGAATCGACGTTCGCGCTCGACGACGGAGATTAGTTATTAGCTCGTGAAAGTTTACGGCGTTAATATTCTGAATTCGCGCGACGAAATGACGTGTGGAATAACGCGGGGCGAGCGCGGGCAGCGAGAAGCGCCGTTCCCTCGCGCGCGCGAGAGAGGGAGGAAGGGAGATTTCCGCCTTTGTTCTCGCGAATTTCTTTTTCATTTTTTTTTCACGCGCGCGTCATACGGGAACCGTCGTACGCCGAAACGCGCGCGATTACGGTTTTATTTTCTTGGGCAATCTGCCGTGCCGATTTTACGAGCGTCCCGCGGTTTCGCCCCCGCGAGTGCCTCGTCGTCGCGGAGTGCAAACTACGGCGATTCTCGTCGAGCCGCGCGAACGCGTTATCGTTATCGTTGCGTCCGCGCGTTTCCTTTCCGCCGTCTCTCTCTCTCTCTCTCTCTCTCTCTTTTTTCCCCTCTCCGTTTCCGTCACTTTTTGCCCCGGCCTTGTGTCGCGCACCGCGCGACCATCGGAAACGATCGACGTCGTTAACAGTTGCAGATTACTTTCCCGCTGCGCCACGTCGCGGCGGTGTCCGTTCCGACCTGTACTTTCGTTAATCTCCCCGTGCAATGCTTGTTTTTTTTATTCATAGAAGCGCGCTCCGCCGGGAGCTAATCGAGAGCCAACAGGATTCGCGACATACTCCTTTCGGTTCCGTGGATTGACGATGAAACGTAATGACGTTAGCGTAAGGGCGGGCGCACGTAGTCCGAGTTTTTAGCGGTATATAGGAAGCTTTGAGGAGCGACGTATGCTTTAAAATTCCGTTGAGATATCTCTCGACACGGAACGTTTCCCGGTCGACTCATTTCGCGAGTAACTTTGACGTTACGTTTGAAGAAATTTAGGTTTAAAACTAGATCGATATCATACATACAGATAAAAGTGTGCACCGGATATACTTTAAAGCGGTCGATTGGACAGCGATCCGTGGCCCAGCCTCTGATAGAGACGAGCGCGTGGGTAATTTATTTTTGGTATATATTATTTTGCAGTACGCGAATTTCTGCGGGCGATAGGAAAATTCGCGATCGACATATCGAATACTTAAAAATATATTGGGCAACTTGATTTGGTATTTTATAATTAATAAACAGCTGCGTTATTTAATTCAAGTGTCCTATTTCAGAGCCATCAAGATGAGTTATGATGGTTTATTGATTAATGAACTAAAATGGGAGTCTTTGGCACATTTTATAAGAGCGCTTTATTGATTATGAATGTCGTTATCGTGAAAAAAGTCTCATTTATACTGGCGTAAAGGTATATATACAGAAAATACCATATCGCTCTCCTTGATGATAATATAAAGTAGGTAAAATGAAATTGTTCCGGCCAATCGGGCTGTCGGTCAGATAAAATTGTTATTCGCGAAGGTTCGAGCTATTTTTACTCGCAAGATAAAAGATATAAATAAAGAAGGAGAAGCCTGGAAAAACATTCCGCTGCAAATGTAACTAATGCAAATGTACAGCTTGCAGCGAGCTAAAAGTATATTTTGCATATAAATTTTAAAAAGCGACAACATAAAAGGGAGTACGAGTGGAATAATTTGACGGGATGAAAGAAAATTTATCGCGAGGAATTTTCGAGGATCGAGGAAATGGTATTTCGCGACAAATTTGTTATCGCGTTTGCAAAAGGTGGACAAGCGGGACGTCGCGAGTAGCTGCCCGTCTGACGAGGCGGCTCAAAGGGCGGGCCGTGATTTATGCCGATCGCGAGAGAAAGAGACCGGATACGCTAAAGGAGCATGCTTGGCAAGGTTCGAACTTGCGCTTTATGCACGTATGAATACGTACGCGTGATCCGAATACCGTTTCGCGACGAGATCCGCGCAGCGAAAGCTTTCCGAGGGCTTTCCAGAGATTGCGGAGGGAATCCCTTCGTGAATTACCTCGCGATGACCTACCGCATCGTGATGTCCGGCGCGGTTTCGCCACGTACGATCAGCGGCCGGCGGTTCGCCCCGTGATACAGCGTGCGGCACATATCTATGCCTGGGTACATACGTGTCCGTAGTGCTTACGAAATCACGCGCGAACTCCACCCGCTCTCTCCGTTCGTGCATGGATTTTCATAGATTTTCCGGACGACGGTGCCGTGTCGTCCGTCGCGGCCGTAGGGGGCGAAATAGCGCGTGGCGTGCGCACGTTCGCGGCGCGCCTAGTGTATCGAAGGTACTCACGTTGGAGGGAAAAAAAAATTGAACTCGTTAGAAAGAAAATTGGATGCCGGGGGTATTCAGGATTCCGCGATGCAATATGGCGTAACCGTGGAGCTTATTCGCGCGCGAGCTAGAGCGTCGTATATTTTGCGTTGCAAATTACGATCCGGCGCGGCCGCGTGAAATTTTAAAAGTCGATCGGAAGCTATCCCCGCCAACGGTGCTGGCCGTACTCGCGCGTACATTAATCCCCTCAAGTATGTTCCAAGCGGGTCTGCCGCGAACGAAGCGCCGTTGCGCGCAAGGTTTCTTTGCGTCGCGCGATTCAAGAATATTCTGATTTTTCTGGGAACGAGAGCGGGACAGAGAGAGATCCGAAGAGGAATCGACGCGCACGCCTCGCGGTGCTCGGGATTCTTTTACGCCCGGTCTCTCACGAGGAAGCGGGAGTGACGCGTTGTAAAGTCGAGGAACGTCCGGCCATTCGCGGATTTTATTCGCTCTACTCTGAAATTGTCCTGACGCAGGCGGATCCGCGTCCGTCGCGAGACTTGTCCACCCCATCCGCTTCCCGATTCTCCATTCCTGCCGCGACCCCGGCGATTCGCGTTTGCTTTTATCGCGACGATAACGTTCGCGCGCCGCGCAACGTAACGAATCTAACGGAAAGATCTATGTTCGCAGATGCCATGAATTCGTTGATGGAGGACGTCGTCGTGGAGGCGGGGAAGAACGTCACGCTGGGTTGTCCGGGGGTGACGGAGGATTCGCTGGTGCTGATGCTCGAGTGGCGGGCAAACGGGATGCGGCTGCTCGAGTACAAGAGCAAGAGCACGACCGTCGTGCGGCGAACGGAACAGAACAGGATGTCCCTGTCGTTGAAAAATTATTCGCTGCAGATGCATCCCGTCACCGCCTCCGACAGCGGTACGTACGAGTGTCTCGTGAACAACCGGAATGCGCCGGAAGCCGTGATCAAGCTCATCGTGCGAGGTAAGTGGCGGAATGTTCTTAATCGCTTTCTCCTCCCCCCCACCCCCCTACCCCCTTTCGTAGATACGTACTTTCCGTGGGAACAAACCCAGTCCGATGATGTATAGAACGGCGCTGACGTTCATTAACAACGAAAGCTCCTTAATTCGATCCGAGCTTATATTACACGAAGGGACGTGCATGCATGTGAAGTCGAACGTGGGTCAATACGTTTTATTTTTCTGTTTCTTTTTTCTATTCTTATAGGTATATCTGATTATGCGCGATGTTCGACAAAGTTTTTTTTATACTTGCAAGAGTGAGCTGGAAATGGCGAATGCAATTTTATTGCGATTAATCTCGACGGAGAAGACAGTAGATAAAATTTCTGTTTCCGACAATTTGTTAAGTATGACTGTTCGGTATTCAGTCCGAATGTCATTAGTGATTTAAAAACTCGTTCGGTACCGAAACTAAGCTGTTTGATATTGCGCCAATAAGGTTCGTCTGGGTGGCCACGTTGCACTTTTAGTTTCATTACTCTAGGAGATCTATCTTCGTTAAATTTATGAATTCCGCTTGTTACTCATGGACTTTGAAGATATTATTAACTGACTCGCAGCACACAGATCCGTTATGAAATGATTGGATAGCGTCTCTGTAATTTTATAGACGTAAATCGTTCTAGATATCTTAATACTTCCTATGAATCGTGGCTTTTTATAGCAAATAACACCATTCGGTGTCTTCTTTCGCGACCGTTCGGCGACAATAACGTATTATTATCGGTATTTCTTATTGTGTCTGATCGAAGGCGATATAAAAGTTCAAATGCGATTCTTCTGTTCTTAGCTGCGAGTTAAAAAAGGGACGGAACTTACTTGCCTCACTTATATTGCTTTTAGCCTTCAGCTCTCTATATGTATATATATATAATTTTCCGATACACAAGACTTTCCTGCAGCTTTACAATTTTATTTTCTCAGGCCGAAATAAGAGATAAATATTAACTCGACTGCCTACTTATTATTTTGCATTAAAACAAGGTATTACTTTGACAGTGTAAGGACGTGGGGAACATTTAGGGAATATAAAGAAACTTGGTAGAAAATCTGAATAATAAGTAGCCTAAATACCGGTACGTCAATGTTTACGCAGTAGATGCGCGATTGCTTTTGTAATATACATATAAAATTTTCCGATACACGAGACCTTCTTGCAGCTTTACAATTTTATTGTCTCAGGCCGCAATAAGAGATAAATATTGAATCGACTGACTACTTATTACTTTGCATTAAAACAAGGTGTTACTTTGACAGTGTAAGGACTTGGGGAATATAAAGAAATTTAGGGAATATAAAGAAACTTGGTAGAGAGAATCTGAATAAGTTTATACGCAATATATACGCGATTGCTTTTGTAACGATCACCAAACATCGCTGCGACTCCACCTCCACGGACAAACGAGATGAAATTCTCCCCTGCGGATTATAACCAATTTTCTTTAAGGCGCCCACATATAATCCCGCTAACCTAAAGAAAGCCGGTTTGTATTTAATTTGAAACGATCTCCAATCGAAGCGACGTAATTCATCGCATTTCGTAAACTCGGGGCATACTTATTTAGCGAAATCCCGGTCTTGCCAGATCGTTTTCGATGCCGGTGGTATTTTCGGAGGACAATCGAATATCCGTGACTCATTCATTGTCGTTACCGATTTACGTTCAATGAACTAGCTCACCGCTAAACTCGGCGAGTTTACGCAAAGTTCGCCGTGAACTTTGAAAGGCAGACCCGGTCCGGGCGGCAACACCAACCCTTCTTAACAACCCCCGTCGTCGCTCGTCGAGCTTCTAATGCTTTATTTTAAAACCGAGTTGCACCCCCGTCCCATCCACACCCCCCCCTCCTCGCGGAGTGTTTGCTTTAAGTATTTACGCCTGATTTGAATTCGTCACGTGCAACCCACCGCGTCAAAAGCAAACTTTTCCTAGCATCCTATAGACGACGACGGGTTGGAATCATGGGAGTACGCGCGGCATAACTTCAGCGGCATAAGTTTGGCCGCCGAACTTCACCGCAAAAAAGGAGAAATGAAACGGGGTCCTATCGCGTTATGTCGCGGTGATTTGCATTCAATGCACGATCCGTTACTCAATTTGACTAAAAAGTTTGCTCGCGCCGCTAAAACAACGTGAAATTACGCCAACCGGGGGCGGGGGGGAGGGGGAGGGGGAGGGGGGCGCTCGACCGCGTAACTCGGCGCGAAAAGCGAACTTTGCGCGACAATGCGGTCCCGAGGAATCAATGTAGATCGGAGATCGCGCGAATTTACATTTTTCACGTTACGCACGCGATATTAAGCGACCTATTCGTATCGTATCTTACAAGGTGTGTATATATCTAGATGCATATATATTATGACGTACATGTACATTCTACCGTACGTGCTTCTACTCGAGACGCCGGGCACGTAACACTTCGGCGGTAACCAATATTCACGTTACGTCAACCATTAAAATGAACATTTTTCAAATCTTTGCAATAGGAGCGTACACGGGCGCATCTCTCGAATGCTATTCCGCACATCGCGAGATCGATCCTCATATTTCCCTCATTTATGATTCTCGCAAAATGCGCATTGAAAAATTTGCGAGTTACCGCGCGCGAGAACGGACGAATGGCCGAAAAGAAATTTCGCATTACTTGCCGCCGTCGATCTAACTGGTTTTGCAAAAGTTTTACATATTTTGCACGGTGAAATAATAAAGGGGAAAAACGCGCGGGACAACGCCCGGGCATTTGAATGCCCGATGATGAAAATACGAACCCCCGTAATTGTGAGAAACGGCACGTTGTTCCCGATCGTTTTCAATTTGTAATTGCAAAATGCGCCGAAATTTCATAAATATAACGTGTTTGCGGTGAAAACTATTCGCGCGGCCCGAGTTATTTTCTCGTTAAGTCGGCAGGGTCGCCGATTTGTTTTGATGAACGAGCATCGGTGAGAGAGGCTGGCGGATACGTGTGCCACTCTTCGAAACGATATCGCGAGCGTACAAAGGGCCCAAAGGGAACGCCCGGAACGAGCTTCGAATTATCGTCTCTCGAAGCTTCACCGCGGGGGTGGTAGCAGGGATGGTGTTGGTTGACTGCAGCTATGAATAAGCGCGAGTCGTTTAACAGCGTGACGTTTTTTCGGCTCGCGGCAAAACAGTTTCATTCATATGCATGACGGGATACGCGGTTCGGCGTGAAAGAGAGCGAGATGGCAGAGCGCACGAGAGCGAGAGAGAGAGAGAGAGAGAGAGAGAGAAAGAGAGAAAGCGAGGGGGGAAGAGAGAAAAAAGAGACGGAGAGAGAAAGAGGAGAACCTTCGCGGAATCTCGGTAGCAGCTAACGAGTCACGATTATTCCTTCTACTCCGCTTAACGAGCAGATGCAGATGCGAAAGGCTTCGCGTTACCGACTTCGAGCATTCATCATTGATTCAGTGTTTTTCATTGTTTGCGTCTTAGCGAGGAGTCATTCTCGGCCGGCGCGTACGGGGAAAGGTGGAGCTTAATAAAAAGAGGAACGCCGTTAATATATAAAATACAAACGGTTACGAAACGCTCGCGTCCCGAAAGTGCACGTAGGACGTAAGGCGGTAAGACCGGTATTCTTATGCATCACGTGTAGATGACGAGATGAGCCCCAGTCGAGGAAAGGGTGGTAGTTTGCCTAGGTGATCCGAGAATCGAGTTCTCGAAATGGATAGAGGCGGAGAGGGAATGTGCTCTTGATGGAACAAATAAAATTGTCCCCCCCTCGGGATTATACCGTGCCGCGTGCACTTGCGTCTGTGTTGTCAAGATCCGCTTCCCCCGTCACCGCGCCCTTCCCTTTCCGCGTCGATTCCTTTCCCTTCCGTTCCCCACGGTTGGTTTTGGTACAAGGGAGAATCGTCGACCTTGGTCGCGACCGAAAAAGGCGAGAGCGTTCGCCGACAGTTATTCCTTCGGTGGCTGCTAAGCCGCGAGCGGTGTTTTTCATTCGGGCGTCTCATTTGAGACCACGACAACGGCGGGAGAGAACGACGAGTGCTCGGCAAATGGCCTCGTTCGATTTTATTTCATGTCGGAGCGAAGGAATCGCCTTACTGCCAACAGCCAGTGTGCAGGACAGTCGATTCCATTAGAATGCGCATCCAATACGGGGGCAACGTAGGTAGGTACTAATGCCCCTAGCGCGCAGATGTATGCCCGGTCGATCCTTAACTATGTTAGAAATGCGTTTCGTCGTAATCGAGATCGATTTTCTATCGAGATACCGACGCGCGTCGCGGAGATTCAGCTCGAGTCTGCAGATTCACGGGTGATTCACCCGTGAGATTTTTCCCAAAGATAATTCCGCGCGCGCGCGCATTTTTTTATCTATCACCAACGTTAAAAATTTCGATTTGCAAAAAATCCGCCTTCTCGGAAATATTTTATTGCACGATTCTGCGCTATCCCGGATTTTTTTCCCCGCGTCATCGCGCGTTTTCTCGTATTTCGCGAATTTACACGGTACCCCCAAAAATCCGCGATATGTACATAGAGAGTATCGCAGCTTTTTTTTGCGACGTGGTGGATATCCCGGGCTTTGCAGCTCGTAATACGATTTGTAATACGTACAGCAGATATACGTACGGCCCCGTGATAAATCTCTAATAAAATATTTCAGATGTATCATACGCATACACCGTCTGAGATTAAGGGGTGTTGGTTTTGTTTCGCGCCACAGATCAGGGGGCGAGGGGGGGATCAAAGTCTGCGGTAAGTCGAGATTTATTTTACATCGCGAGTACACTGATCGCCCGGGCGAACTTTTGCGAAACATTCTTATTGGTACGATGGAGTGAGAGTTTCTCCCGCGGACTTCTCCAAAGGGGCGAACATACTACCGCTCTTCACTAACCGTCGAGGTAGACTCGGTGCAATTCGAAAAGTTGGAAACGATTCGCTGAAGAGTCCCGCCGTAACGTTCTCGGATTAGC